TCAGGGATTATTCTAATATCCTACCCAAATGAATCAAGCTTACTGTGGCACCATTTACCAAGGCAAAAAAAAAAAAGAAAGAAAAAAGGAAGAGGAAAGAAAGGAAAAGAGAGGCCAGACCCAAACGTGGATGATAAATAGGACACCCACGACTAAGAGACAATGGATAAAGGATATTTTGATAAGTAACAAATGGCAAAAACTGTCATTACAATGGCAGAAAAATTCTAAGTGGATAAAGGGAATCGTTGTGTTCTGGCGACGAGCTGTGTTATCGGGGATACATAAACAAACCGCTAATGCGGGAAAACATCTAATTAAGCAAACCACAGACCGACTAGCCAAAGAAAAAATCCAATTGAAAATGTTATTTTGATAATTAACAAAAACAGGTGAACTACAGGGCTTTGGATAGATATATGAAAAATTAATTGTGTCAAAGCCGCACACGAGGTGGCGACTGACCGTTTTTTTTTGACAAGACATCTTTAGCTGCGATAATAAAACTATGTTATCAGAAATGTGCACCAAAGAATGAATGGAACCATGGAAATGTTTTTTTTCGAGGCGACGGACGATTGTGTTGTGTCAAATAGACCACCCATTCTGATAATTAGCGATAATCTGACTGACGAAGTCCAGGTGAGAACAAGAGTTATGACCATCACCGATCGCATTGTTCTATTTTGCGGCCAGAGAAAATGAGAACTGCGATTAAAAAAAAAAAGGAAAAGAAAAATATTTTTTTTTAAGCAATATATTTTTTTTCCTGAAACAAAGGCCGCGAGATCGTACACGCCGGCTGGACATCATTGGCCGAGTGGTGATCACGTGACGCAAGGAGGGAGCTGTCACCGCCCATTTTAGAGGATGGGTATGAGAGGTTGCTACGAAGAAGTGGGAGGGCAGTTCACGCCCCTCTGAAGTATGGTGAGAAGGTGGGAGTAAGAAGGCTCCCAAAATGGAAAAAGTGGAAAATTTCTAACCAAAAATAAAAGAAGTGGATAGGTATTTAGAATTATCGAGGAACCCCCCCGGCGCCGACAAACCCACCCCGGTTTTTGTCGGCGTCCATATAAGCGCAGCGAGCGAAAATCAGTTCCAGCGGAGAGTTCTAGCAGACAGTTCCAGCGGAGAGTTCCAGCAGACAGTTCCAGCGGAGAGTTCCAGCAGAGAGTTTCAGCAGAGAGTTCCAGAGTTGAGTTCGGGAGAGACAGTTCCCAGAGTCAGTCTCCAGTGCTCAGTTGAAGCAAGCCTCGCATCGGCTGACCAAGATTCGCGCAATTTCCGGACTCATCTTCAATCCAAGAACAATTATTTTGAAGAGCGACTTAGATCCAGACCACCAAAATAAGTTTTTTCGACTTTCACCCGAAGACACACCGAAAAACCAATTTCTTAAAGAGCAAACAACTTGAAGTGTTAAAACTCGCCTAAAATGGAAAACAACGTGTCACAATCCATAGAACGTGTCGGGAGATAGACGCAGTCCTATGTATCCAACAACTAGACATAAAGTTTGTTATCCTTTTTTTGATACATTGAACTTTTGAGTTTTCATTTTCTTTTCTTTTATGCATATTTGTGTGATATCACCCCCGTTTGAACTCAATTTGCATTACGGCCCCAACTACTGATTGATTTCGTCTGCCTAAGATCAATTCACAACGTGGGTAGGCAGACTGGAGATCAGTGCAGTTATCTTGGTAACCAGGCGTTGGAAGCGAGTTGGGAACGACGAGGCTGATATCGAATCTAACCAGATTCCCATCCGAATCACCAAAAGGTTAGAACGTCACATTTGGGTTCCGCGACCGATACCAAGCCAGTTGGTCGACAGGCAGACGTCACGTATATTTATATGATACAACTAATAAATTCGTTGGTAAGTGGATTCTAGTAATATAAAATATATATAAAATAAAATATGTACTAGTAATATAAAATATTAAAACTGATACCCCCACAAAAAGACCTCAATGTATTTATTATAACAGGGCCAACAGATAGTATTACACAATAAAATCTCATACGAGGGGGGACCTATTTCACCGATGAAAACTTCGTCACTCTAATTCAACCTTGTTGTATAGACTGAGTTCGTGTCGGCATTAAAAATTTAACTATGACAACCGTCGAAAAAACATATATATATATATATATATATATATATATATATATATATATATAAAAGGTAGGATGTGTGTGTGTGTGTGTGTGTGTGTGTGTGTAACGAATGCACGGCCGCAATTTTCGACAGTTTGCACCAAAATTTACATGCAGATGTTCCAAGTTAGCGGGAAGGCCAAGACCGACTTTGCATTTCCCAACTCTCATTGATAGTGGAAATAATCGATTTTTTCATGCTTCTACGGCAGTTTTCATGTAGTTTGCGGACATTTTCTATTAGCCAGAGTGAGAGCCTATAGCTGGCTGCCACGAATAGGCAGGAAGATTCTATTGGCCAGCGCGAGAGCTAACAGCTGACTGACACGAATGTTAACTAGCATGCTAGCATGCAAAAAAAATCGATAGCTTCATTCGTCACAAGTGGGAAAAATTTAAATCTGCATGGCACTTTACTCCACTTGGCTCATTCGCCTGTTTAAACTCAACGTAGATTCTGATTCCGCAGAACTGGGTTGGTGTGAAAAAGTATTTGTTGTTAAAATTCTTTTTTCATTCGGTTTTTCCAGTTACGAGTCCTTTTTTTTAAAGCTGTGTTCATTTTATTTAGTTCTTTTTTCGTAACAGATTTGATGTTTAGTATAGAGCTTAGAAAAAATTCGCAGTGTGATATAGGCAAGAAGTAAGGCATGTAGCAACATCAGCACGGCAAAGGGCACTCCTCTAAAGGCAAGGAAAGGCAAAAATATTTTAAGTCAAGTGATAGCGATTGCTGTATGAGTCGTACGATTTTTGAATCAAGCACGGGCAACGCCGGGCCATGCTGCTAGTATATATATAATATTAGTGGTCAATACATACATATATATATATATATATATATATATATATATATATATGTGTGTGTGTGTAAATTCCCAAGAGGATAGAATCCAGGTAGAACTCAATGTCCAGGACAGAGTAAGAATACAATATAAAAGGCTCAAACACTAATATTCCATGGTTATAAGTTATTACATTGGAATAGTAATCACGATCCAAATCATCAAATCTACAAATTATATAAATAAATTACATATAAGAGAAATTCAAAAATACCCCACATGTATAACTATTTCTCCACGCAAGAATTACCTTGTAAGGTAATTCTTTCTTGGGGAAATAACTAAACATATGGTGTATTTTTGAATTTATCTGATATGTAATTTGTTTATATATGCTCTGTTTTAATAAATACACTGTGCTCTCTTTGTGGATAAGTTTAAATATTTTATATTCTTAGGATTCACTTGGATTATTTACCCACAGATTCTTACCTGTGTATATATACATATACATACTTTTCTCTCGTTGGAACCACTACAACCTCTTTCTTTTTATATATATATATATCTATATATATATATATATATATATATATATATATATATATATATGTGTGTGTGTGTGTGTGTGTGTGTGTGTGTGTGTGTGTGTGTATGTGTGTACACACACACACACACACACACACACATACACACGCGTCGCGCACGCACACATACACACACACACACGCACACACACACACACACACATATATATATATATATACACATTGGTGTATCGGTGTGTTAACCAGTTAGGTCAGCGTTCATTTACAAGGAATAAAATTGTTACAAAACGAAAAGAAAAAGTTTGTTAGTTTTAGAATCCGGACAAGTTAAACATTGAAAAAATAATAGTTAACTAGCCGTAAATAATACTGTACTCATGCGTTATTCCTCTTTGTATAGGGTCTGTATATAGGCCAGTCAGAATTTAGTGAAGGATGTGCAAAACCGGATTTACTGATTTTTTTTCTCCCCATAACGCTATAATCGTAATCTTGGGTTTATTTCGTTATTTTATTTTTGCTTGAAATGAAAAAAATATAAAAAAAATAAATAAATAAATAAATAAAAACAGGAAAAAGAAAGAAAATGGCGTGTCAATGGGAAAGACGAAATGTACGAGAAAGTAAAATCAATTTGAAGGAAAATGAAAAGAAATGGCCTAGAATGAAAACGATGAGTAAAAGAGAAAGAAACAAGAAGAAACAAGAAAGTAAGAAAATTTAAGGCGAATGAAAAATAAAAACGAACACGGAATGAAGATAGAAGGAAAAAAAAGAGTTTTGATGAGAGTGAGAAAATGGCATGAAAAATCGATTGTATGCAATTCTATGGAATCAAATTTTCCAAGAATTACCATAGGAATTCAATAGAACTCGGTTCCTTTAGCAAAACTTTCTACCCTGCAACCATTTTCTTTCACACATTCAGTTTTAAGAAAGCAAGTATTAGGGAAAAGCATTTTGCCACGAAAAACTATAAGACATTTCTTTCTGAGTTTTATAAAGAATTTTATTCTTGGTGTGGGATGATGCGAATAAAAGGAGGTAAATCGTGGAAGATTAAGCAGACGATACAAAACGGGAACTGCTGAGGAATTCCTACCTTTTGTCCGTTCGAAGGAGAGGTTTTCAATGAAAGATTGGGCATTAAGAGGGGGACGTGCGGACGGACAAGACTGGGTTTCTTCGAAGAAACAGTGCAACAGTTTCTAGTTACCTGGAAATTTAGATGCAAATTTACGCTTCAAAAAAGGTATTGCCTTTTCTCCTTTGAAAACAAAATAAGTTAAAAACGAAGACCTTTTCTTTATCGACATTTTGTCATATTTGCAAATTAAATATGACAATTTTCAATCTTACTACATTTTTTACATCCAAACAAATTCAAGCTGTCACCTAAATATGTTGGCTTTTTACATGTTTAACTCATCATATATATGAATGTTCATATGTTTGTATGTATGTATATGCGTGGATGGATAGCTGGATAGATTGATCTCAGTTTGTTCATTATCTATCTATCTATCTATCTATCTATCTATCTATCTATCTAATTTGGATCACTATCTATCTATCTATCTATCTATCTATCTATCTATCTATCTATCTATGTTCATATGTATGTATATATATGCATTTATGACTGGCTGGATGAATCTCAGTTTATTCTATCTATCTATCTATCTATCTATCTATCTATCTATCTATCTATCACAATAATAATCTATCTATCTATCTATCTATCTATCTATCTATCTATCTATCTATCTATCTATCTATCTATGTGTATGTGTTCATATGTATCTATGTATATGTCGGTATGACTGGCTGGATAGATCTATCTATCTATCTATCTATCTATCTATCTATCTATCTATCTATCTATCTATCTTTTTTTTTTTTTAAGCATTAGGCCCCGAGCAAGGCGTGAAACCACTAGGATGCAGGGGGTTGCAGAAGATTTGGAGCAAGAGCAGATAGGAGTGATAGAAGAAAGGTGTTTGTTTATATGTATGTATGGAAAGTGTAAAAAAAAAATGTGACTCGGTTAATGGACGAAAGTGTCGTGGGAAAGTTCACCAAAATATATAACAGTTACTGCAAAAAAGTCCAAACGTTGCCACATCTACGCAAGATGACATAAGACTGTAGCGGGACTAAAAAGCCACATCCACGCAACCCATATTTAAGGATAAATCAAGTGATGACATGACTCGAAATCATATATGTATGTATCAATCCATCGTGTGTTCAATTTCCTTATATCCTATACTAAATTTGTTATAAGTCTTCCAAACACCAACTTATTTGACGTATTTAGAATTTATCAATTCAATATTCAGAATTTTTAGGATGTATTCATAGTAGATAGATTGTCTATTCTCATTCAAATTCCAGATTCTAATTTTTGTTTTGAAAAGGTTTATCTGATGTTTGCCTTCTTGAAAAAGAATGTTGATCATCTTCTGTTCGAGATCATTCTTATTCCAAGTATGAATGCCTATGTCATCAGCATAGACGCTTCCCCCCCCCGCAGTTACAATGGCCTCTGGAGGGAAAACAAGAGTAGTTTTATTTTTATCAGTAGATTCCTTTGCGATGTGGTACGTTATATTCAAATATTCCAGGTTTATTTGTTCACCTATGTGTTTATAAAGTGTTTATAAAGTGTTTATAAAGTGTTTATCAAGTGTTTATCAAGTGGCAAAGCATTGTCGATGAAATGATTAAACATAGGGACTTTTATTTCCTCATTGTCGTATTCTTGACGACTATTGAAATGCGTTGCTTTTGAGGTCTTCATCCAAGTGGAAAGTTGTGGAAAAAAGGAAAAAACTCAAGGAAGTAACTTTTCATGAAAGAAATTAACCAACAGAAGTCTCGAGTGACACTCAAGGTAGAGGGTCATTGTTAAACTTGTTAATTATCGATGAGGATAAGGCGGAAAATAATGACTAACCATTTGACTGGGACGAATTACAATATAAACCAGATAGCTTATGTACCAATAGCAAATGGAAATACATTGGCCAGCTAATCTATCGGATATAAATCTAGTCAACACGGAACTGGAAGCCCTTAGCTTTAGTTTAAAATTCGCCATCGGGATTCATATAAAAGTGACCTAGTTGATAGAATAGTTAAAAATCAGGAGTAATTACTGTCACTCTTGAAACGAACAATGAAAAAAAAAGTTCTTTTATTATTAAAATGAAGGATACTTAACCCTTTGAGTCCTGACCATCGCTTTACCGGTGGTAGAGAAAAACGACGTAATGCCCAGCCACTGGTTAAACAATGGGTAAACACTTACGTCGTGTTTTGCTATTGGTTGTCTTATTTTGAAGAGCCAATCAGAAAAGCCGTAATATTCTGATGACCAGACAACGAAAAGCATCACATAAAACTTTTTTTCCACTTTGTTATTAATTTTCCTAACATTTTATTCTGGTATATAAAAAATGTATGTATCAATTTCTCCCATATATATGCTTGCGTGTGTGTCTATATGCATGCGTGTATTTATATGCATATGTGTCTATAAGTATATATATATGTATGTACGTACGTGCTTGTGTGTGTGTGTGTTAGGTTACAGAAAATAATGTTTTTGTGATTTGATTTAAACATCGGAAGTTTGTCATTCGAAAGTACGGAAAGATCAATTTTTCTTTTGTTGCGTGGGAAAAGGAAAGCCAGATACCAGTGGCAAATGCTCCAAGGAAGGAAATCTCTCTCTGTCTCGAGAGATGGGGGTGGGTAGGACAGAAAAAGTAGAAAATTGACAACATCGATGGGGGTTGGCGTATATACGAAGGTTATAGAAGAAGAAGAAGGAGGAGGAGGAGGAGGAAGAAGAAGAAGAAGAAGAAGAAGAAGAAGAAGAAGAAGAAGAAGAAGAAGAGTGTCAGGCGTAATGTAAGAGTTCAGTAGACAGGCGGAAGATTACAATCATGGCAAAGATATAAGCGATTCGACATGAAGAGTTGACAGGATTTCCTTCATTCTTTTATTTCGAAACTTTTATCGATTTCTTTATTTATTTCTGTTTTAATCGATTTGTTTATTTAAACTTTTTCACACTTTCTTTTCTTTTTAAGTGATTCTTTTTTCTTTTATTCCAGCCCCCAATACTTTTTATTTGTTTTTTTTTATTCTTTTTCATGTTTTGTATTTTCTTTTCTTACATTTTTCCCAAATCTATTTTATTTTCTTATTGTATATTCCTTTTTTTTTGGAATGTATTTTTTTCGTTCATTCATTTTTGCTGTATTCTGCAATTTTTCAGATCATATTTTCTTTCTTTCTTTCTTTCTTTCTTTCTTTCTTTTTATTTTCGTTTTCAGAATCTGTATTTCTTTTTTCTTTCTTTTTTGATTATTTGTTGCGTTCTTTCTTTTGTTACTATTTTCTTTCTTTCTTTCTCTTGTTTTTATTTTTCTTATATTTTTCAATGCCTAATTTCTTTCTTTCTTTCTTTCTTTCTTTCTTTCTTTCTTTCTTCAAACTCTATTTTCTCTTTTTTTTCTTTTTTGATGAACCTAATGTCTTTCGTTCATTTTTAAGTCTTTTGCATTTTCTTTTCTTATCAGACCGTATTTTCTTTTTTCTGTGACTATCTTCTTTCTTTCTTTCTTTCTTTCTTTCTTTCTTTCTTTCTTTCTTTCTTTCTTCCAACCCTATTGTGTTTGTTTCTTTAATCCGCGACACTTCTTCGTTTTAATCTTGCCAAATCCTGCGACATCAACTAATCTTTTCTCACGAACGCCAATATCCCAAGAAACCGGCACCCCTCTCCTCCCTCCTTGTCTTATTCTTCTCTAGTCTAGAGATTTGCATTCACTTCAGATTTGTGCATCGAAGACTCCCATCTCGCGTGCATATCGATAAGATCGATAACCATTGTTCTTGGCCTCTTGAATATCGGCGAACAGGAATTTATCATTCAAACCTATTATCTCTTGAACAATTCACTGCCTTTCTTTCTTTTTTTCTTTTTCATTTTTAATTCTTTCTTTGTTTCTCTTTCATTTCTTTGTTTCTTTTTTATTTCTTTGTTTCTTTTGCATTTGTTTCTTTTTCATTTGTTTCTATCTTTCTTTCTTTCTTCTGACACTTTTATTTTTATTCTAAAAATGATTGCACCCTTTTTTTATCGATTTTCCTGCTTTCCTTCTACTGTAACTTTCGTTATTCTTCGCAAAATCATTCTTTTTTTTTTCTTCAGATATGATATATCTTCTTTTTTTTATGGATTTCTTTTTTTCGCGTCTATATCACTTTTGTTTTTCTTTCATTTTCTCATCTTGAAACATACCTCCTTTCTCTTTCTTTTTAATCTTATAATTATCTTTCTTTCTTTTCCTTGTTTCTTTCTTTCTATCTCGTTCATCTTGAAATGTCTTTCTTTTTTAATCATCTCATAACGTCGTTTGTTTCTTTCATTCTTTCTTTTTTTTATCTTGTCGCGTGCAGCTTTCTCTCTCATTCAACTTAAATGTCTTTTTCTTTCTTTTTCATTTCGTAATTTTCTTTCTTTCTTTCTTTATTTCTTTCTTTCTCATCTTGAAATGTCTTTCTTTCATTTTTCTTTCTCGTTCATATCATAATTTTCTTTGTTCCTTTCTTTTTTGTTCATCTCATAATCTTCTTTGTTTCTTTTTACTTTTTCAAACCTTTTTTCTTTTTCTTTTTCTTCTCCATTATTCTCATTTATTTTTCTGTCTAATTCTTTATTGAAGGCTTAATTCATGTTTAATATTTTATTTTGTTTATTGCAATTTTAAAAATCAATCTTGAATTAAAAAGTGGCTTATTAATCTATTAATAAATAGAACAAGATTTCAAAAAAGGGTTTGTTTAACATAATCAAGATTCTCTCAAAGCGATCCAACCAACACTGCTTAGTTACACTTTCCAAAAGTTTGAATTAAAATTATTGTAAAGGATTTTAAGCTGCTACCAAAAAACCATGTTGTCTTAAAAGTAAATACCTATCTTAAGACCCATATCTTCATGTGTGCATTAAGGTTTATGTATATTTTTCTTAAAAAATATAAGTAAATAAACAAGAACTTATTTTTCCAACTCATCCATCTTAGAAGAAAAAGTCAGATTATCCACTACCCTTCAAATTCCAACCACTTAAGCAGCAGATAAAAAACCAAATCTTTCATAACAATGATGAAAAGTCTACATTGACATTCTAGGACACATCTTGATAACTGAAATGACAGCTGAAAGTGCTTAACCAAAAGGAAGGATTTTATATAGTTTGCAATGATTTTTAAATCTTTTCAAGAAAGCATAAATCAAAAAAGTTTGGAATTAAAATTATTGCAAAAGATTTTAAGCTGCTACATATGTCAGGACACTCCAGCCAATTACAATGTATGAGGGCCTAATAGATTCAGCTCTATGAATTGAACCACCAGACTACCCACACATTATTTGATTATAATGGTGAAGGCTTGAGCACAACCAGCCACACTTTTTGGAAGAATTGATAATTATTATATTAGGATATAGTTATACTTCTCATATACTGGTTGCCAACTAGAGCTAAAGAAGCCAATCTAATCTGCTATTTAACCAATGGCTGTAGGGAGAAAAGATAGAGGCATACTTTTCCCAAGGGTATTTGTGTAAAAGTGAATATAACAGATTTGACTGAAATTTGAACTTGGCTCACTGATTTCTAATTCAGAGCTGTTAACCATTAGTCCACCTGCAAATTTTACATACATGTGTATGTGTGCATATAAAAATCACGGTATTTCAATGAATTATGACGTATACCCTGGCAGCTCTGTATTCAAGCTCAATGCCTTCAGCTGATCACTTCAGCCCAAGTCTTGTCTCACCCCATGTTGTGACTAATTGATCACAAGACTGACTTAGTCCGAATGGTTGACTGGAATCGATGACTTCGTTTGGTCTGAGTAAAGTCACATGAAAGAAGACAAAAAAAATTGGGTAAAAGAAAAAAGTATTTATATACACTTCCTTGATAAAAAGTTGATGGTACAGTCATTGATGACTTAAGCAGGTTATACACTTCATATAATAACTATCGACTCTTGATTTTCTCTCATCTAGTCATTGGTATATCTTCAGTCTAGAAGAATTTAGCATTTTTCAATTTACTAGTGCCTTTCCAATAGTGTCACAAATAGAGAGACTTCATTCTTTTTAAAGAGTGGTTTATTAATCTATTAATTTAATAGATGGATAGATAAATAAACCCTTTTTTAAAATTGTTCTAACACAAGACTGTCTCAAAGCTTAATTACACTTTCTAAAAGAAGAAAGCTTTTGAAATTGAGACTCAGTGATGAAATAATCCATCTTTATTGATGCCTAATAATTTTCCCTGTGTAACCAGACAGACGGAAGGTCTTCTAAAAATAAATATTTTTCATATTTCTATCATTCATAGCAAAGGAATTTTAGTGTAATTACACAGGATAATCTAAGAAAAGAAATCTATTGACTTGAGAGACTCTTGAGACATTAAGGCCAACATGGAAAGAAGAATTTCACTTTAGCAAAAAGCTTATTGATTACAAACAAATCTCTGGATAATGAAATGTGCAAGAGCTTTGCTAAATGACAATCAAGTTTGGAAAATCTGGTACCAAGAGAGAAAGTTTTGAAATAAAAAGTAAGAAATCAATTAAAAATAGAAATATTTCAATTAATAGCAGGAAAATATTAGAGACAAACATTTGTGGAATTTAAGCTATTTTATTAAATGTTTTAGAAAGTTTTGATTAATGGGGAAATTTATAATGCTCAATTTACAAGTGAAAACTTTATTAATTACAGAATATTCTATCTTCTTATTGTAACAATTATGACCCTGGCAAATATAGTGAATGAAAATATTATTTAACCTTCATCAAATTAAGTATCAAATCTTGATATGTTTGAATTGTATTATCCTTATCATGATAAGAATCACTGAAAATAAGATTTCCATCACAAAAGAAATGATTGAGAAACATTTAACAAATGTTTACCCAAATCTCATGAATGTAGATTAAAGGCTTTCTAGTCAATCTGTAAGATTGCCACTGATCTAATATTTACTTATTGGATTTAGAATAAATGGAGATGCTTTGAGGACAACTAAAAGCAAGCTATCATTCTTAATGGAACCAATTTCTCATCTCTTGAAAGAACAAAAAAAAAACTTCAACGCAGCATATCACAAAGAATGGAAGTAATAAAATCTATGAACAAGAGATATTGACATCATGTGGTTACTGCAAATATTACAAGAATAACTAACAATATAAGGAAATGGCTTTAGAAATTTACTAATTGATTTGTAGCTGAAGTATTTTTTTTCTATCTCCCTTTAATTTCAACACATTTCACCAAGTCAAATCCATGTCTAATCAAAACTTTTGCCACTTTTGTTAATGGAAGCCATCTGAGGAGCCTCTTGATAATCTGCAAAATCAGTTGAAAGTTAATTTCTCAATAAGCAAAATGGTCACCATATACAAGTTTTAAGCAATATGGTCAGTATATGGAGATCAGATGCCAGGAACAGATGGATTAAAGCAATACATCTCAGCTTCGAATAACATTAACCTAATTAAGAACAATTAGAATGTATATAATGTTATCAACAATAAGTAATTTTAGTTATTTGTGTAGCTTAGAATAATGGAATCCTGGAACTGATGAATTCTTTGACGTCATTTTGTTTTAACTGCAACTTGGTTGAAGACCATCTCCTGTAGAAAGTTTTTGTGATGCTTTAGGAAGTAGTAATTATTGAGAGAGAGAGAGAGAGAGAGAGAGAGAGAGAGAGAGAGAGAGAGAGAGAGAGTTGAAGCTCAGTTCACTTTTTGCAAGCAAGCTCATTTGCAAGATATGCAGTTACACACTGTTAATAATAAGTGAGCCTTTTCGTTTGATTAATGTCTCGGACATAAACATCACAGTTCTTGGAACATGTTAACCATTTCCTAGTACCACCCACCTCATTTTTCAATATGTCTAAACTGTAATTATGTGGTTACTTACAAGAGCACAAATAACTAACAATACACAAGGCGTGTTCAGTTACTTAATACTAACAATCATCTACTTCAAGAAATGTTTCGTCCACTTCAAATTACTCCTCTTGTTACCTCATACACTCACCTCAGTACATTTCCTTCAAGCACGATGAACGGGTGTACACTCCCAATCAAGTTCCTTGCTATAAACCTATATTCGGACTCAAGTTCACCCAAGACATTAAGTAGTACGATCCATCGCTAGAGATGCTGGAAACATAGTCGACTCCTTGTGTCACTCTATCTTTATACGAAACAGATCAGACGAAAAATGGAATATTCCTGCCATATTTGGCTTGAATCTGCCTAATGCTCATTTTGCAGACTTGGCAGAATTCAAAAGCGCCTACGTAGCCTTGTGAACAAAGAATTATTGCCAAACCGACAACGCCTTTCCCGCAGACGAAACGTCGGGGGACTCTTGCTACTCCATCGATATTTCTATAGCAAATGTTCTGACGAACGAAATTCTTCCGTTCCATCAGATCAAAACTTAACAACTAGGATCTCACAGACAAAGTAAAGAAGGTCGCATATTCCTCTTCCCTTTCGTATTCTATTGCTAAAATGGAAGTTCCACTGAGAGAGTTTCTTCCCAAGAAGCGCTACTTTGGAAAACCGGCTCCTGGGAGCATTCTTCCTTGATCATTACAATCTTAACCTGTTCAGAAATAGGGTTAGCCATTACCTAATCTCCATATCCTTAAAATATGCACTTATTTTCACCTCTTACGTTCATACAAAATCATTACCCACTAAACCTCTACCTAGAGTGACTCTTGGGCCTCGTATTGAGAGAACATTTATTTTTTTTAATGTAGAGTTTTTATATTATTATATACATTGTTTGGATTGCCGTCCTCATCTTTAATGTCATGTTCTCGACGTTCTTCTTCGGGTGATTGGAATTTCGAATTCAACCCTTTATTTCATTCACCGGGGTAGATTATTCTAGTTCCACGTGTCATACCTCTTTCGTATGCCTCAGTTATCTTCCTTTTAACTCAACTCTCCAAGTTTTTGTTCATCACTTCAGTAGCTAGGTATCAGACTCAAAACTCGTTGGGTGAAGTCACTTGTTTTATCCACTGGGCTCATCTCAGAAATATAGACAGATGTAGAGTTTTATTGCTTAACTTGTCTAAAAAAAGATGGACCTAGAAAAAAAAAAAAAAACGAAACAAAATTTGTCAGAAAAAAAAAAATCAATAAATGGTATGAATGATTTGAATGAACCTTTTTCTATCATTTTTTCCTCTGTCGATAGCAAGAGTCGGGCTTTCCCTGATGTCTATAAGACATGTGAATAATGGGCTTGATTCTGCCATGAAGTGTTTGGCGAGAACTGAATTCAAAATTCTTCGTCTCTTAGATTCACTGACCGACTATGACAAAAGAACAAAGTCTGACCTCTCTTATTTTTACCATTAGTACAGACGCCGATTCGCTTTCAAGTTCTTCCTGGGACGCTTGCACTTTCGTTACCCTCAGGCTACGCCTAAATGTTGTAAGTCTTCTCCCACCAGGCGGGAGTA